TAAGATACACTTTAAAGCTCAGGGAGTAAAGCAGCAAAAATGTTGCTAATAAAATCTAGAGGTTACCCAACATTCATAAACTTGTTTCTGCTCATAGGTCAAACATTTTCACTTAAATAGGAGTATACTGTGCACATGACATTATTAAAATTTACAGCTTAGTGTTCTGTTCRGCTTTACTAAGTTTTTTTTCTCCCTTTTTAATTTTTACAAATGACGGACACCCACGGCAGAGAACTTTAATCAAGGTCTTTTTTTCTTGGTTGTCCACCGGACGACCAGGAGACAGGATCTGGTTGTCCGAAATGAAAATAGGTTGTCTCAGACAACCTGAACTATGGTTATGTCTACCCCTGCTCTCTCATTGATTATAATGGGTGCGTATTTACTGCAGAGGTCGGACCGGAGCAGAGACGGAACGCAAGTAATGTAAATTGGGGGTTATGGTCTTTGTAAAGATGTGTGTGGTTGTACTTGTGCCCTAAAAGCAAGTGTAAAAGTATTCACCCCACTTTAATGTTTTATGTTTCTGTTGCTGTTTATAAACCATARCTCATGGTTCACTGACCCTTCAAAATAAAATAAAAACATTTATTGTCCCAAGTGAGAGATTTCTTCATTTTGTCCAACTAAATTAAAATAGGAAATTAAGATACTCTCAATTCAACTGAGAGGGAAAAATAAAAAGTACACTTTACTATTTATTTGTTGTTGATGGATTTAAAATAACTTGAATGTTATTCTCCTCAAATTGGATGTGTATTCATCCTTTGTTCAAAGAAACGTGTAGAAAGAAGTGTGTTTTTAAGAGTGTGTGTGTGTGTGTGTGTGTGTGCTCTGCAGGACTCCATCGAACACGTTGCAGTGACCAAACAGCCGGAGAATGGCAGCGATCCCAGCAGGCGGTTCTCTCGTGGCGACCACTGACTACTACCGAAGTGAGGCTGCTGGCCGACGCAGAGTAGATTGAATGTAGGGGTGCAGCGTTGCTTTGAGGCGTCCTGAGGTCCAGATCAGATTTGTCACTACATATTCTCAGGACATATCTGTTGAAGGAAACAAAATACTCTTATTTATCATTGATCTCTAAATACAGTGAGTGGAAGCTTGTTCCTGTTATTAATCTGACTTTGCTACATCTCATCTACTGCCATCAGAGTTAACCAAACTCAGCTTGGCTTTAATGCAACGCCTCGCTCCGACACGCAGCAGCACAGATGAAAGTTTCAGAGCAAACGTTGCTGCATTTGTTCTGAAAGCTCTTTGAGTCCACTCAGGCTGACGTTTCCAACTCTTCCCTCGTTTCTGCCCCCTGCAGGGCGCATCGGCTCGACTTCCAGCAGCAGCTCATGTGGCAGTTCGGAGTACAGCGGAGAGGTCATTCCTCACCATCCAGGTGTGTGACGGAAGGAGCAGCAGACACAACCAGAGGCCGGCAGGAAACTGTTTATAATCAGATGGAACAGGACTGAATTTACATGTATGACAGCCCAGAATAACATGAAGGTCCAACATCTTTCAGGAAGTCCAGTAGGAAGCTCAGTGTGAGACGGTCTGAGTTCAGGTCAGGAGCCCTGAGGTGGTTTCTGATGAGTTCAGGAGTAATTTTAACAGAAACACTCGTCTCTTAAAGTACAAACGTAGCACAGGATTTTTTAAATCAACAATTTAAGCTTTTAGTTTCAAAACTTTAAGATTTTTTTTTAAATCTCCCAGGTCTTCCCAAGCAGGACTCTGGCCACTGGTGGTCCAGTTTCTTCTTTGGGAAGCAGCCAGGAATGACCCCAGTGACTGAGGAGGCCCAACAGAAGTAAGTGAGCTCATGAAGTCAAACATGTTCTATCCAAGCTTTGGATCTCAGAACAAGTTGTGTGTGTGTGTGTGTGTGTCAGGGCGGGGGTGCCGGGTGCAGTGACCAACGGTCAGATCACCTGCATCGCCAAGGAGATGGCGGTGCAGCGGCAGGCGAGCGAGAGCAGCGAGGCGGGGAGCCCCGCCCCCTCGTGATCCTGCCGTCAGCGCTGCACCTCGGGGAGCAGAACCATCGACCAACGCTAGGTGACGGAGACTGTCCCGTTTACAACTTTTTCTTTTCTTTTTTAAAATGTTTGTTGTAGTAAAGGCTGCCTTGTTTTGTTGTAACCTTTGTGTCTTTTTATTATTATATTATTTTTTACGACCAGAAAGAGAGCAATGTTTGTTGGCACTAATAAGCTCGTAAACATTTGTCATGTTTTCTAATCCAGTGTTCCTTTGACACACTTTGGCTCAAACACTCACATGCCCATGGTAAATATTTGTCACCATGAGATCTTTTAATAAAGTAGATTGTTGCAGCCTAATGACTTCTGTTCATTTGAAAACGGTCAGTAAACTCTGGTATGTTACATGCTGCTTGTGATTTTACATGAAACCACATGTTTACAGAGGATGGTCGTTAGGTTTTTGTTTCAGTTTTGAAGGTTCTGGTTCGGGTGTGAACACTGAAACACCCCAACTGTCAGACTTTACTAAAGAAARCTTTCCTTCAAATCCAACGTGGCCRCCACCCACTCCTTATAAAACACACATGCAGGAGCAGAAGGTGACTCATATCTGTCAACAGTCGGCTATGTTTGTGTGCAAAAGGTCAGAATGACTAATGCTGAGTAAAACTCCACACAAACTTCATTTGGTGATGAAGATGTTGTCAAAACAAGGAAACCATTGAAGTGATCTATCTGCTGCGTGTGACCCTAACAATGAATACAAGGGCCCTGTTTCAGAAAAAAGTGGAAATCCTGAGTAAATTCAGGGCCCGTATTTATAAAACTTAGAGTGGATTTTTAGACTTAAGTGCTGAAAATTTCATAGATTTGCTCCTACTCTCAGACTTAAGTGTAAGCACCAGTTATCAAAATTCTTAAGTCTAAGAATCACTCTTACTCTCAAAAGTTCAGACTGCTCCTGAGCACTCTTAAATGGTTCAGAGTTGCCACCAGAGGTCTGAGACTGAAGACAGATCACACAGAACGCAGCCGACCTGAGTGTTATTCTCAGTTATGTAGAAAACGGTTTTAATCAGAAATACAAAAGAAAAAAAAAAGTTAAAAAATAATAAAAAAATTAAAACTGCACATAATGTTGGGCTAAAAGGCAGGTATTTGTGTGTGGCTTTTGGTTAAAATATTAAATATACTCAGCTGATGAGTGCATGCCCTCGCAACTTACTCCGTGAACCAACCCTGCTCTGTAGCAGGATTACTTGAACATATCCTGAGTTTTCTGACCTTTTAGCTGAGATCTGGCATAAGGAAAGTGTCAGGCAGGGCATGTCCTTTTCTAAAGGAGCCTGTAGATGTTGGAGCATATTAATCCACAGAAATTTATGTCGAGAGAGATAAGACCAAGGTTAGACTTATTGTCATTTCTGAGAATTTTTAGATTTAATTGCTCAGGTTTCAGTCCTTCCCTTCAAGTACAGCTTGTAGCTGTTTCACAGGAAGATTTAGGGATAGAAAAATGTTAAAGTTACATTTCTCTCTCTTATGACGTTATGATCAAAGGTTTAAATTGTTACAGAAGTATATAT